CAAAAGTATAAAAAGGGCTCCAGCTTGATTTTCTGCACCTTTAGCTCTCTGGCTGCTGGAGAGAAGAGTCTCTTTCAGGGTACACTTGGAAACATTTAAACTGTTGATTCGAATCTGGAGCTTGTCAATTTTATCATTAAGCTCATTGTTTATCTTCATCACTTTATCGAGAGATGCTAGAAGTAACCAGCCAGAATCGTTATTTTTCTTATTTTTGCACAAATTGTCAAATGTTTTATGTATAGAGTCACTAAATTTCTTGCTCTACACAAGAAGTGAGTTAGGAGATTCAAATGGGTCTATCTGCAAAATTGTTTCATAGTCTACCCCATGGATTTTCAGTACTCTCCATGCTGTCTGAAGACTCTGACTTGGAGAGCCTGCTCCAAATACCAACAAGTCCGTTAAAGAAATTCATTCTTTCAATTCTGTTTCCCTAGAACCACTCCTGGTACCACAATCTGTATTAGTCAGGGTTCTCCAAAGAAACAGAACCAGTAGAATGAATATGTATAGAGATTTATCAGCTTAGTTCACAGGATAGAGTCCGAGTAGTCCAACAATGGCTGCACCACACTGGAGAGGCTGAGAATCTGCAGTCACTCAGTCTACAAGGCTGGATGTCTCAGTATTCCCAGTCGGTGCTGAAGGTCTGATGAATTCCAAAATATCAGCTAGTCTTCAGTCTACAGCAGCAAGACAAACTCACCAGCGAGAGAGAAGGCAAGCACCAAGAAGCCTGGCATTCTCCTCTGCCTTGGCCTTTTATATGGGCTGCCATCAGAAGGTAACACCCACATTTTGGGTATGTCTTCCAGCTTCAGATGATCCAATCAAAAAGGCCTCTTTCATTTCAGTTAATCCCAGATCCAGTCAAGTTGACACCCAGGATTAGCCATCACAGCTGCTGAGGACCATTGTCCTCCAGGCATGTCCAGGCAGGAACTCTCAGCAGCTGTGATTCCCAAGAGACTGGCAAGAGATGGGATCAATTAATAACACATCCAGGAGTAGGGGCTCACTAGGCCCTGCCCGTCTCCAAAGACCTGTAACAGTCTTTGGGCAGGGGGAGATCTGCCCCTCCCTGAGAATCTATAGCCAGTTAGTGGTTGCTAGGGGGAGGGGTTCACGAGGCCCCACCCATCCTGGAGGATCTTTAGACAGTTAAGAAGGGAGAGATATTTTCGTCAGTAGCATAGCCATATATAAATTGTATATTCTCCCAAATTAAATTCAGGGATGCACCAAGCTAGACTTTATGAATGGGTTCTTTCATCTGACACTGCAGCCTTGGATGGTAAATCTCAACTGTCATCTTGAGATTTTGAATCACCATAGAAACATGGCCATGTCTGTGAGAAAGTTTCTAGGCTGGATTATCTGAGGTGGGACGACCCACCCTGAATGTGGGCAGCACCATCCATGGACTGGGGTCCTGGGCTGAATAAAATGGAGAAACTGAGCTGAGTAGCAGCATTTATCTCTCTCTGCTTCCTGACTGTGGACACGGGCTGCCTTCCCACCATGATGGACTGCACCCTGGATTGGCCTGTGAGCCAAAATAAACCCTTTCTTTCTTTCATCCTTTTTCTTTTTTGAAACAGGGTCTCCCTGTAGCCCCAACTGGCCTGGAACTCACTATACAGACTGGGCTGGCCTTGATCTTAGATATTCACTTGCCTCTGCCTCCTAAGTGCTGGGATGAAAAGCATGGGCTACTACACCGGGTTCATCCTCTCCAAAGCTGCTTCCTGTCAAACATTCTGTCACAGCAATGCAAAAAGTTGGTAATGCAATTGCCCTATCTGGGGAGAACAGACATTTGTTCATCTCCCAAGAAAAGTCATACATTGGAGTCTCACAGAGGATTGTCCTTGCCCATCTGTGTCCCTCCCAGACAAGAGATGAGCAGATCAGAAGCATCTTGACATGGGGGTCAATCACCTGGTACATACTGGGAGCTCACTGAAATCTGTCCAGCTGAGCCAATTCTAGCACAATGAATGTAGGATGCTTTTCTAGCCTCATCAGAGAATGAAAAACAGGGCTGTGTTTATTTGCCAACATGGAAATAAGAAAGGCTAATCAGAAAACCTAGGAAGTGAAAACCGCCAGATGTTTCTGAGAGCTCAAGTCCAGAAAGACAAAATAGCTTGCAACGGGGGTGATGTGTGTTTTTCCTAGTGATTCAAAAATGAATGTACACTTATTAGGTGGAGAGAGAGAGATTTAACGGGTTTCTCAACTAATGCTGTAATTTTAAATCCATTTAAGATAATTTTCTTTATCTTGAATTTATTTTTCTCAGTAACCAGGATACTTAACTGATTTGCACAAAACCCATTTGGAAAAGAAATAATCTACTCCAAACAAGGGTGTACTCTAAATGGAAAAAAAAAAGAGAGACACTGAAAAATTTAAAGAAAATGGACAACGTGTTTGAGAAACCAGAAACCCAACCTAGAAAACAGGGACTCTCAACTTTCCAGCAGGGATGAGGAGGGGGCCCCAAAGCCTCACCCTGGGGGAGGAGCTATTGACAATTGAAGGCTGCTGAGGGAAGGGAGAATCACCAGACTTGGCCTCTGGTTTGTTCTTCATGTCCTAGTGGATAGCCACACATCCATGTGCATATGGATATTTCTACTAATAACAAAAAAGGAGAACTTGAAATTGGGAGGGTTGACAGGCTGGGGGGGGCACTAGAGAGAGTTGGGGAAGGGGTAATGGTGAAAGGGTATGATTAAAAGACATTGTAAGAATGACTTTTTTCTCCAGCACCATATTTCTGCATGTAACCTCGTTTTTCTCTTTCATAAGGAAAAAAAAAGAAGAATTTTAAAGTCTGAAAGCATAGAACAAAATTATTTCCCATAAGTCAAAGAAGCTGGAACCAAACCTTTTAAAGGGTAAGAGTCTCATTCAAACAAACAAAACTATGAGTTGAAATAATAATGAGAGTTTTTTCCTTACCTATTATTACCTGCCAAAAGCATATTTCAAAAATGCTAAAGACCAGGGTTGGAGGGTCCAGCAAAATTCCAGTAGATGTTGCTATACATTTTTTGAAGGAAAATGTTTTTTTTTTCAAGAAGAAATTGCTATACAGCCAAAATTCCAGCACCCATGGGGGAGGTGAATCTAGGACCCTCTCCATATTCAGGAGCTTTTGGCAGTTGACAGTTGCTATGGGAGGGCTAGTCATTCTTTTTTGGGGGTGTGGTCATGGTAGGTTTCCCATGCACAGTGGATGGTCTCACACCCTTGCACACAAGGGCACCACTAACTGGGCTTGGTGGGTTGTTTTTTAAAAAAAGACATTTAGTTGGGAGTAGAGATGTATTTGTTGAGATACAGAAGGGCAGCGAGTTGAAGGGAGAGAATGGGTGTAGATAGTATCATATTTTGTTATATATATGCATGGAATTCTCCAAAAAAATTCATTAAAAAACTCCAAATAGTTCTAAAGCAAATAAAAAAAACAAGAGCTCAGTGGTTAAGAGTACTTGCTGCTCTTGCAGAGGACTTGAGTTCAATTAGTTCCCAGAACCCATATTGGGTAGGTTCACAACCACCTGTAACTCCAGCTCCAGGGGATCCAATGCCCTCTTTGACCTATGAGGGCACTGCACTCACACTTCCACATACCACAGTGCACACACACACACACACATACACACACACACACACATGCACAAATTACAAAATAATAAAAATAAGTATAAAGGATGGAAATGATTAAGTATTAATTAGCATGACATAATAAAAATTGAAAATAACTGAAATTTTCAGTAATGGAAATATTGATCACCATGTATCTTAACAAAAAATGCTTACTGAGGTCTGGGGAGGTTTGCTGGGTAAAGTATTTGTCTTGCAAACATGAGGACCTTATTTCAGATCCCTAGCTCTGACTAAAATGCCAGGCATAGTAGCATGCACCTGTTATCACAGCTTTGGGGAGGCAGAGACAGGAGGATCCCTGGGCCTTGCTAGCCCTCCAGTCTAGCTGAATCAGTGAGCTTCAGTCTTAATGAGAGACTCTGTCTCAGAAAATAAGGTGGAGAATCACAGAGGAAGACACTGAACCTCCACCTCTGGCCTCTACACATTACATGCACACACTTGCCTATGCACTATCCCCCAAGGAACATGAACACACACACACACACACACACACACACACACAAACACTTGTGCTATGATTTCAAAAAAGACAAAACTGGCACATCACATATTCATAATTGCTATAGAAAATAAACTCAACAATAACATCACAATTTTGTTACATATATGATATGTGACAGAATAAAATATTATCAATACACTGAGCCTGGTGTTCATAGCTATAATCCCAATACACAGGAGACTGAGGTAGGGGGATTTATTATGAGTTTGAGGCCAGCCTGGGCTACATAAGACACTGCCTTACAAAACCCCAAATGTACATAAAATAACAATGATAGATACATTGATCGATAGATGATAATCAATAGACATTAAAACTTCAACAATTACCATCTCTAGGTAAGGAAACTAATGTTTTTTTATTTAAAACTTTTTTTTGAGTGCCTTTCTGTACTGCTTTTATAACAGTTTAACTTTTTTCTGGGGTAGTCTATAGTAGCTGAGGCTGGCCTCCAACTCCTCATATAGCCAAGGATGACCTTGAACTTCTGATCTTCCAGCCTTGATCTCCCAGGGGCTGGGATAACAGGTGTGCCTCCAGGCCTGGTTTATGCAGTGTGAGGAATGGAACCTAGGGTTTCATGCGTATTAGGCAAGCACTCTACCAACTGAGCTATATCCCCAGCCTTTAATGTCTTCATTTAACTAATACTGCAAAACCAACAAAAGGCCTTGGTTGACTTGAAGAAACAGAGGAAAATAAAAGATTCCTCTGGAGTTACAAATATCACCATAAAGAGCGAGATTCACAGCCAAATCCACCCACGTGGTGGAGCTGGTGAGTTCCTAACCAGGGTTTAGCCACAACTTACTTAGTGGGCCGATAATCCGGAATGGACCTATCCAACGAAATCTTTTCGCTGAGGTAGGAATTGTAGCCATACTTCTCATGAGGTCCTTTGGCCTTTTCTTCTTCAGAGGGGGAAAGGGTCGCAGGAAGGCCCCCTTTGCCACGCCCACCGTAGCCTTCAATGAGTCCAAGTGATTTGGATAGGCCTAGAGGAAAAGAGGAGGGAAAGAGTTATTGAAAAAACCCTTACCTAGATAAATCACACAATCTCAGATATGGCTTCAGTAGAAATTTGAACATTCCCTATCACAGAAGAAAATGTCCTTAGCTTACTTATATATGCTCTGAGAATATGTATCAGGTGGGGGGGGCAGGGTACATGTAGCCCAGGCTGGCCTCCAATTTACTACTTAGCTGAGGATGACCTTGAACCCCTGATCCTCATACCTCCATCTCCAGAGTGCTGGGTTGACATGTTTGTGCCACTACACTGGGTTTTTGCATGTGCTGGGGATATATTTACGGATAGGAACATCCAAGCCGTCCTCATCTCTGGAGTTCAAGTCTAAATATCTATTAGGATCCTCTCTCTGTTTTTGGAAACACATGAAAATCACGGTCCATTAAAAGAGCGTTAATAATGAAAGAAATGGAGACTGAGAGAGCCAAAGAGATGGAATGGAGTGGGGCACTGTTGTGAGTGCCCATCTCCTTTTCTCTCTTGGAAAATCACAGCCAGGTTAGGCGTGCAGGAAGAGAAAATTCTAGGGACATCACAGGGAAGTGCCAGGCTGTGGGAGGCACTGTTTCAGGAGAACTTGAAAAGACCATACTTGATCTAACCAGGTGTTGAAAGTGCTAGTGAGGACCCAAAACAGCTCTTTGCCAAATGGTTGTATTTAAATTTCTTCTAAACAGCAAATGGAAATGTGTGAGGATAAATCAGAGAAAAGAAAAAAGCCCACAAGGGTGATAAAGGTATGCAGAGGGAGGTTCTAGGGTAAGTTTCCTTAGCAACCGTGGCTCCTAGGACGCTGGCAGAAGATTTCTGTCTGTTGTCCCATTTTACCATAAAGAACTTGAGGAGCAATTTCAGAAGGCGGAGCTCTGAGAGGTTTCACTACTGAGCTAAGAAAGTTTATGCTATGGCTCTCACAGGAATTTGAACATACTAGGCAGGATCTCCACACTGAGCCACACCCCCAGCCCTTCGTTACCAGTAGGTACCACATGAATATAAACCACCGGTATCATCCCTTCCCTTTAAGGGTGAGCAGCTGTTGTTCCCAGGGGGACCACAACTTCCCAGGAAGGCATCCCTGGGCAAGTCAGATGCCAACAATTCTCATTGGGTAATGAAAGATCTGCAGCAAAAAACAACAAAGTGCACCCTCTCCTGTCATCTCTGCAAACTGAAATGTATTTTCTGTAACATCAAGATCAAAAGCACAGGCTTGACCAACAACTGGGAGCAGTCTTAGAAGGACAGCATTCCCCAACTGAGAACAGTTACTACACTTCAAAGTGTTCTTCTGGAAGCTGGACCTCCCTGCTCCCTAACCCCTCCCAGCAGAGCCTCCATCAACAGAGAATCTCATCATCCCAGCACTCGCTGTCTACAACTTTGTCTCCATCCCACACTCCACCTTGGTGTGGAACAAATATCCCAATAATGCCATTTTCACTAGGCTCAAACAGTCTCGCAAGTCAAATACAAATACTTGTGTTTGTTTTTAAAATCATTTGGCATAAGGCATGGTGGAGCACACCTGTGATCCTACCACTTGGGAAGCAGAAGCAAGAGAATTATGAGTTGAAAGCCAGTCTAGACTACATACTGAGACGCTATCTTAAAAAAAAATGAAAAAATAAAGTCACGTGTAATAAGAATGGATCATAGAAAAGAATTTGGCTGTTCTTCAACATGCTACAAATGGTTATATGACCAAGCCACTCCAGTCCAGGATATGAATCAAAGCCAAATAAAAATGTATGTCTACGATTCTTCTCATACAAACCTACAGCAATGGTGTCAGCATACACAAGACCCACACAAACTTAAGTAGACAAAAACCCAGCACAGAACTGTGGAAATGAACAGCAGGCCCCAATCTCAGTCAAAGAATTATTGGCAGCTGATTACTGCTGGGTGAAGAAGAGCTTATCTTCTTAAAGGGAGAGACTCTAGATAGATAAACTGGCTAGATCCCAGTGGATGAGCTTGCACTGAGGGATATCTGGGAATACTAACTTTACATGATAGGCCTTAACAAAAATGACATAGCCCCAGTGGGAGGGTTGCTATGGGAGGGTGCCAAAGGGGACAGGGGTATAAAGATGATTTTCTGTATGAAATACACAGAAATTCAATAATATTTTTAAAAATGTATGTCCACACAAAACTCCAACCAAATGTTCATAGCTGGCTTATGCATGCCACTAAATGTTGGTAAAATGTGATACTGGCATTCTTTGGTATGCTCAGAAATAAAGAATGAAGTGACTAGGTATGGTGGTAGCTGATGGATGATGGTTGGATGAATGAATGGAAAGCTAGATAATAAGAGATGGTAGATTATAGAAAGATAAAGGATATAGATACATAGGTGACAAAACATAGCTATTATAGATTATAGACAGATGACATATAGACACTAAATAACATGATAGAGATGATAGATCATAGATAAAGATGATAGATTATAAACAGATGTTAGATATATGGACGACAGATGATAGATTGATAGATAATTGGTGAATGATATTAACATATAGACACAAATGTAGAGAGATGATAAATGATTAGTATATAGAGAGAGATACAGATACCGACAGACAATAGAGCTTCTCTGTCCATATATATGAAAGAATAAGTAAGGTTCTTTGGTGACTGAGTACATCAAGTGGCATAGCTTCACGGGAGCTTGGATCACAAGACATTTAATTAAGTTAACACTATGGGTTATATAAAATACTGTCATGAATCTTGTAACTACAAAACCCTCTCATGATGGGTCATTCTGCTTCCACCAAGGTAAAGCATTAAGGCTACACATAAAAGCTTTCTGGTAAAACACAGAAATACTAAAATTGTTTTAAATTGTATAAAATACATAGTTGAGCTTGCAGGAAAGAGAAGCTCCTGAGATAAGGTAAAGGGAGAATATAGACAGTCAGTTGAGAGAGAAGAAAGGACAAAGTGACCCTTAACTAAAGGCTAACCGATGAGACACGGAATCTAGATTCCCCAGAAGAGGAAAAGTGAAACAGAAATATCTAAGAATTGAGACTCCCTTGTGGAGTATACTTGGAAAGAAATGCAGGTAGTTGTTATTTTAATCGAAGGACTGGAGGGGGTGAGGTTCCTGTCTGGAATCCCCCAGTAAGGGGCTGGTGGTATGGTTCAGTGGCAGAACACCTGCCTAGAATCCCCCAGTGAGGGGTTGATGGCTCAGTGGTAGAGCTCCTTCCTGTGCAAAAGTCAAAGTGAACAGTCCCTGAGGAGTAATGACCAAGTTTGCCCTCTGGCCTTCACATGCAACCACCCTCACATGAACATGCATACACACACGGGGGGGGCAGGAGAGAGAGAGAGAGAGAGAGAGAGAGAGAGAGAGAGAGAGGCTTATGCTACAAAGGACATGCAAGGAATTTAGCTCTTAACAGGATGGTATATTTTTCCTTGTGATTGTAACTTCTTTCCATTCTGAAAGATGCCCACTTAGCCTCACAAAAACACTGTGCCTCCCAGCACAATGTGACAACTATGAATTATATATTTCGTGGTGCATGTGTTCCCATTTTCCCCCCAATTTCATCTGCCAGAAAGGCTCAACAAAGCAGCAAAAACTTCTTCTGGCATCTGAATGTGCTACTTAGTGGGCTCCAGAAACTGTTGGCAAAGGAAAATAAGACTTCAAGTCACAGACAAAGACCAAGTTGGTCTTTGCCAGAGAACGTTGCCACTGGAATATATTCAGTTGACCCCACTGTATTAGTCCCTTTTCTCCATGCTGTGACAAAATAGTTGAATAAAAGAACTTAAGGAAGGGTTTATTGTGGCTCCCAGTTTGAGGGTACAGTCCATCATGGTGGGAAGGCATGGGGGCAGGAGTGTGAGGCAGCTGCTCACATTGTATCCGCAGTCAGGAAGCAGAGAGAGATGGATGCTGGTGCTCAGATCACTCTCTCCTTTTTATTCAGTCCAGGACCCCAACCATGGGATGGTGCTGGCCACACTCAGGGTAGGCCTTCCTGCCTCAGATAACCCAATCTAGAAATATTCTCACAGATATGCCTAAAGGTGTGTTTCCTGGGTGATACTAGATCCTGTCAAGTTGCCATCAATATTAACAATCACATCCATGCACCCAGAAAAGCTTTTTTCCAAAAACAAAAAAACCTTGCTCTTAAGCCAAAATTACTTAAAGCATAAAGACCACTGTTTGCTTCTTAGAACCCACATAAAATATCAGATGTGGTGGCCTGTGTTTGAAAATCTCAGTACCAGGAAGGCAGAAACAGGAGGATCCCTGGGGCAACAGGACGTCCAGTCTACCCTTTTTGGCCAGTCTCAAGCCAGTGAGAGACCCTATCTAAAAAAAACCAAGGTGGACAACGCCTGAGAAACAACACCTGATGCTGACCTCAGGCCTCCACACCACACGAACACATACCCACAGGCACACAGGCACATACACATAGAGATTAAATAACCCTGAGAAAATCCTGTGATAGAAGAGAAGACAATACTACAGTGAATCTATCATCACAAAGGAGAAAGACTCCACACTAATGGATGTTACAGAGAAATCAAACTTGAGAAAGGCCAGTTGGGTGTTAGAGAAAGCTCATCCAGGGGTCTAAAGGCAGCCCAGTCTGGGAAGAAGTAGTCCCAGAGTGATGAGAAAGAACAGGAAGCAAGGCTGCCTGTCCGCAGGGATGCCCAGGTGGAAGACCAACAATCTTGTATTAACAAGAGCTTTTTATTACAGCAATAACCAATCAGAATACATAATATTGAAGGAAATCTATTCATAACAATGACTGTATTGCATCAGTCCAGATAAGAATATTGGAATCTTTTCCTAAGGTGAATAAAATACAACATACATCAACTGGCAGTGCAGACATGTTTCCTAATTGGAAGATTAAATAGGAAAACACAATAGTGCAAACTACAATTTTTCGTCTTTGGGAAGGTGTG